AACGGTGCGTGACTGCCAACCGACGGTTGGGCGACTGGGCGACTGGGCGACTGGGCGATGTTTGGCCTTTGAGCACGAAGAGAGCGACTAGCGTTCGGTCGGGCTTCTCTCTAGTCTCATTTGCTTCCGCCAGTTAGCGTGTGAGATGAGAGGATAGCGGGAGCAGGATATAGAGGCAATGAGATAGTTATGGGGAAACATTGGGATAGTTAATACGTATTAACTATCCCAATGTTTCCCCATAACTATCTCATTGCCTCTATATCCTGCTCCCGCTATCCTCTCATCTCACACGCTAACTGGCGGAAGCAAATGAGACTAGAGAGAAGCCCGACCGAACGCTAGTCGCTCTCTTCGTGCCCAAACGGCCGAACACCGCCACTGCATTTCTCCTCCAGAGGAGAAGTCATGGAGGAGAAATGCAAGCGGCATCCTCAAATTCTGGCTCTACAGGATCAGATGTATGCATCTCATCCACCGATTGCACTGTTGCCAGAGGAATATGTGCATTTGTAACATTCTCCACTGCCACATCTTCCATGAATTGGAGGAAAACGAAACAGACATGGGCAGGAAGCAATTTCGTAAAAAACCTAGTTTTATTGCACGTGCATTAAATGCACGTGAATAAAAAATAAAAATTTATATTATGAATATTTAATTATATTATCATTCTTTAAAGAGAAAATAATATTAAGTTTATAAAAGAAGAAAATAAATTCTAAACAGAGTTAGTTATTATTGATGGAAATGACTTTATATAAAAATTTAAACAAAGCTAATTATTAAGTTGAAGATGATTTAGCTTGTTCTCATACTTAATTTTTATGTTTTTCAAAATAGTTTCGAATTTTTATAAAACATAAGAATGAATTTCAATATAGTGTATAAATCAAAATAGAAAAATATTATATATTTTTGGTAAAAAACCAAACCTCACAAATAACAAATGTTCACTTTCTTGACAAGTGCACACCATAACATTACTTGAAAATTTTGCAAGATTCTAACCTTATTGAATGATATTAGGACTGAAGAACTGAAATCTTAATTATTTATTAAAATAATTTACCAAAAAAAATCAAAATAATGGATTTGAACATTTCCGAAGAGTATCTATAATACATCCAAAATTTTCTATGTACCAGCCATGTGCAGTTGGTTGCAAGTTTTCTATCAGCTTCCTACTTTTAGGATGTAACACTATAGTTGTTTTTATAATTACAGTTAGCGATTTTAGTATTATAGAAGCTTTAGAGTATATGTAATGAAATGCTGGAAGAAGACAGTCATCCAAAGTTTTTATCCTCTAACCAAGAACAATTACAGTTCCATTGGTTTTCCTGCTTGCTTGTTGAGCTTTCTGTGCAGGTTACTACACCCCAAAAGTTTTTGTCTTCCTCTCTGAGCTCTCTTTGATGGCCAATCAGAATAGCTTATGCTCTGATTTACCTATTGAAATTCTCCACGAAATCTCAAACCATCTGCCAACCCATAAGGATCTCTCCTCCTTCAGACTAGTCTGTTCTCATTGGCGGAATTCAGCCCCAATTAAACCTTGCCTTCCATTGGTTCTTTTAAAATCACTTGAATCCTATCCCCGCCATCTCGAATGTCGCCATCCCTGTTCAGAACTAGCTTGTTACAAGCTTCATCGGCGGCGTCGTTATATTCCACAAGAAGTTTATTACGTTTACTGCTCCTACAAAGACTGGCTGCTTACAGCAAGCTTAAAAGATCATAAAACACTTGCTATGACCATCTACAATCCGTCCACAAGGAAATTCATTTCTCTTGCTGGAACCCATGAAATGCTCAATGTTCTCTCCCCGAAGCCAGGAGCCATAGATGGAGAGCTGGAGCAGACAACCGGGTCTCTGCATTGGCCATACAGTATTTGTCTTCGAAAGCTCGTCCTCTCCACAACCTGTACTCATCCTGTTACATCCAACAAAGACAACTTGGTTGCAATGGCGATACTTGATTACTTTGGTTCATCACCGCCGCTCAAACTCGTTTTTTGCAGAGATGGAGATGAGACTTGGACTGCAGTGAACATCCCCTTGGACAGGTTAAGCCTTGCTTGTGTTGGTGGGCGTTTCTTCTACGCACTTGGCAAGGAATGGAGACTCTATGCGTTGGACATTGGACCACCAGTGAAGCTTCGAGTGCTGTCGATGAGGCCTCCTGGTGTGGCGCAAACACTTGATGATTGCCATTTGGTGGGGTGTTGTGGAGATCTATTGATGGTTTGTCATGGTTATGAATTGAATCAGGAGAGATATGTGTTCGAAGTGTTTAAGGCTGTGAATTTAGAAGGCGCTGAGCCTAAGTGGATGATGGTTGAAGATTTGGGTGATCGAGCAATTTTTATTAGTTCATCAACGTCATCGGATTTCTCCATTGAAGCAGCAAGCGAGTATTTCGAGTGCAGGAGGAACTGTATATACTTTTGTCGAATGTTGATGACAGGATATGACGAGGAGAGATGTAAGAGGATGGCTGGATGGACGGGAGAGTATGACTTAGAGAATGGAAACATCACTTTTCTTTCAGATGAGTAACCTGCTGATTTTATGGGTTGGTTCTTACCTTCAGCTGCTTGAGCACTCACTCTTAAAGTTTCTTCTTAGCAAGTATCAAAAAAAAAAACACAACTCTCCTTAGCCTATTGGTTGAGAGCTTAAGCTTCCAACTAAAAGGTCCATGGTTCGAGTTTATGTGTATGCGTTGTATGTGTGAGTTTGCCTTAAATGACCTAAATGTCCCAAAAAAAAGTACTCAGAGCAAGATGCTCCTCTCAATATAGAGAGAAATTATGACTTTTTTACTATTTTACAATTTAATGATAGTCTCTTTTATATCCTTCATTGGCTGATGTATTTCTCTTTTCTTAAATTTTCAGTGGCTCTACAAAAATATAAAGCTCTCTTGAAACTAAGGTTTTGATTTTATAGTATAATAGTTAAAATTTTTGTACTAAAAAAATTATTTTAAGAAGTACTAAAATGATCATCTCAAACCAAGCCTAAGAAAATTGAGAGCACAATCATATATACTTATGCTTTACCTTTATATCAAGTTCATCTCAAATTAAATTTATTAATATTGAAATTTATCAAGACCAAATTTTTTTCCATATAGAAATTTGTTATTGTTAACAATAGTCAAATCTTATTGCAAATTTTAATAAATCAAACTTGATATAAATATTAATTTGTGTATATAATAATTCTAAAAAAATAGTGTTTTTATCTCATGTTTTTTAACTACATATTTAACTAAACATGTATTATCTATCTCTATTTAAGGCAATCATGTATTTTATTTTCTTCCCCTTCCCCTCCAATAAAACGCCCAAATATATTCGAAGATTATGTTGCCAACTAGCCAGGGGCGAGTCCGTCCTGCCTTTTTTTGTTTTTTTAAATAAAATTTGGCACTTTGGGAAACCTTCTTGGACATTTTTTAGATTTTTATTGATTACTTTCTTTGAGATGCTATGCAAATATTATACACAAATTGCATTAATCTAATTCAAAAAATATTTAATTAATATTATCATATAGTTATTTGTACAATTTTTTTAGAAATTTAATATTAATTGAAAACTTTAAAATGTCTAGATAAGAATAATAATTTAACCTATTTTATAAGAGAACAATTAACTTGATCTTATGTCAATATTTTGCATTTTTTTATATTTTACTTAAAGAAAAACAACTTAAGCCTGGTTTAAAATAACTTTTTAAACGATTTCTAAAACGATTTTTAGTACAAGGATTTTTAGCTCAAGAAATTTTTTTTGTTAAAAATTTGTTTTAAAAAACAAAATAAAAGCAGTCCCAAATGAAACCTTAATCTTATGTCAATATTTCTTATTTCATATTTAATGCTAATTTCAATGAAAGTTTAAAGATTTTAATGCAAAACAATCCCCCCTCCCAGGGTATCCCAGCTAAAGTATGTTATAAACCTAATTAGTAATGATAATTAAAATTTGATTATTTATAAAAATTAAATGATAAGAAGTACTATTGTTATAATTTCATGAAAATTTGATGGTGCATTCAAAGTTCTAAGAAACATTAGGGTTGCTTGCTCTAATTTATAAACTCAATGCCTAAAACAAATTCTATATAATTTTGTACAAATGCCCCTACCTTAAATTACTCTCACATTCTTACAATTAGCATTAAGACAAGCACGTTATCATTTAATACAAATAACAATTTATTTTCTTTTATTATTTATTATTGCATAATTTATATCCTTTTTAAATACCAGCTTTAACTCCAACTCTAAAGGGCTGTTTGGTATCAGATTTGCAGTGAGATTTTAGTAGGATTTAATAATCCAACCAAATGGTTTTTCAGAGGGCTTGTAAATCTGGCGACTGTGTAAATCTAGGATTTATGGATTTACGGCATAAATTCGTGTAAATCTAAATCACATCCTTCGGCTGATTTAATGAGATTTACACTCGCGCCATCTCTCCCCTGCGGCACCCGTGTTGTGGAGTTCCTACGAAGTCGTTATGTACATCGACGACGCCGTTGCTTCACACTCATTCGCAGCCCTAGCCTCGTGTTGTACGAAGTCTTCTTCTTTTGTTTCATGTGTTCGAAACTACCTGATTTGCTTCGTCTGTTGCTGCTTGCAAAAATAGTTGTAATGCTAGTTATACTCAAATAGTTATTTTGTATTTCCGTATATGAATGAATGCTTTTCTAATTTTTGCTCTAACGATAGTTGTTACATTATATAGCATTAAAAAAAATATATCATTCGTATATTCATCACATGGTCATACAATCTTTTTTCTATAATACGGCATTCAAATTGCATAAATAAAGTGGCAACAATATGGTTGGTGATCTCAATCTACTAGCTATTGTACATTTATTCATATCTCGCAAAAAGAATTCATAGAGAAATGATAAGGCATGGCATCACAACAGATTTGTGGAATGCTCGGGTGAGCATTTATCTTTGCATTTTAAATATTTCAGGTTTGAATATATTTTGCAATAATTTTATGATTTTTTTTATATTGATCGTTATGATAGAGTTACTCTCCAATGCAATATATATCAACTTTCCTATTATATTGAAGTGTACTATCAAATAATAGTCTATCGGTATCAAGATAAATATTACTCTATATATCATAGTATCATTTATTCTTTCTGCATGTACTAATTTTTATTGTATGAGCTCATATTGAATTTATTATGTGGTGTGGAATTATTTTGAATTTATAATAAACATATTGATGTAATTCAAAGTTGTTTCTTTATATTTAAATCTTTTGCCAAATAATTTCTCAGAATTTAACATTTGTTATATCAAATAATATTCAGAATTTAAAAATATCAAAATTTATTAAATTCAAATTTACAGTATTTATTAACTCCCACTAAAATACAATACAATACAATACCAAACAGCTCCTACATAACCACAAGCCTGCATCCATGTATCATATCCTACATATTACCTGCTAGTCCTCCAAGCTTGCGCTGCTGCTGCCCCATTTGCATCGTGGACGTATCTTCGACCGCAACGCTACCTCTGTCATCTCTCCGCCGAGACAAACCCTAGAAATTCCCGTCCTAGTCCGAGGATACTGAACGAAGCATCGCGACCTAGGGTTCTACTGTTCCGTTCATGCGATAGCAGAAGGGGGAGATGATCTTTTCGAGGCTCGGCCGTTCCATATTGCGATCCGACAAGATGATTTTAACATCACCAATAGTGACCTAATTTGAATCTCAATGGGTTCAAATCAAGCACTTGAAGTATTGTTGTAAACTTTAAAATATTAATTGAAAGATCAAATGATCTCTAATTTTGCATGCTCATATAATCACATTAAAAGAGACCATCTTGGCGAGAAAATTTCAATTAGTCCAAGAACACTATAATAGTATCATCATGGCATTTAAATATTGAAAGAATGATCTAAGATCAAAGCAATCATCATCGGTCATCGGATTGAATTTTTGTGATTTTAGTTATATTTATCAAATTGTTACTTTTAAAAACTATAAATAGATAAATGTTCTTTATATGAAAGGGAAATTTGAATTGATATTGGAGAGCTTGGAGATTTATAGAACCTTGGCACTTCGTATATGATGTTTGAGAAGATGATCGATCACCAACAACCACTGCTATCATTTGATTGTCGCCACTTGTCCACCATTGTATGACCACTGCCACTTACTTGCCTAGTTCATTCACCATAATCTAATTGTTGTTGCCCGTCTAATATCATTCAATGACCATGCATAGTCTAACTATTAAAGATTTACATCTTTGCCCTACTGCATACATATGACTAATATCATCTGACTGATGTCAACACCCTCCATTATTTCCTTAACAAGCTCTATTATAATCACAAGAGATCAAGCTTGAGATCACTACTTTGACATTGCAACTTCTCCAATAGAGTCTATTGATGGACCTTTATATTTTATTTATAATATGGTTAATTTAATATAGATCAAACCCCCTGATTTTTCTCTTCTTGAAATTTTCATATAAAATAAACTAGTGTCTCATGTGTTCATAGCTTTTATTTTTATATACATAAAATTTTCATGCAAAATTATAACGTAAACTTATCTATCCAACAACAATAACAACAACATTAAGTCTTTATCACACTAAGCGGGATTGGCTACATGAATCCTTTTTCTCAATTGTGTTATGTTAAGAATCAAATTCTCAATTAAATCTAATAAAAATGTCATTTCTAATATTTTCTAACTAAGTCTTTTTAGGTCTAACTCTACCTTTCTTAATATAAACCCTCAAGCTTTTTTGAGGGGGCACAAATTTCTGATTTTAAAAAAACCCTCAAGCTTTTTTCATTTGAGCTTGAAATTAATTGGCTTTATGGTTTTAATTTTTTTTTATTATAGTTGTTAATTATAAGAAGATAAATTTTATGATAACGAAAAAAAATTATTTTCATGTTCATCTAAATTAATTTCTATAGTCTAAATAAATTTATGTTTTTTTTTTCAGTTTCAAAAAAAAAAAAAAAACACAAATTTATTTAGACTATATATTATCATACTCATCATATTTTAAGCAACTTGATTTAACTTTAAATGTTATAATTCTCATCTAATATAATTTGTTGGCATTAATTATATAAATCTCCTATAAATTATAATTTAGAGTTTTTAAAATAATAAAAAGTTTTGATGAAATTTTTAATTTAAAAAATACTAAAAATGTGAAGATGGAGAGGGCAAGTGTTTTCTGATCTGTTATGCTTGATGTAAGGGCATCTCCAACCGAACGCTAAACGACTGTATGGAGTCGTTCCCTCGCTCCAACCGAACTCCAAAATTTTCGCCATTTAATCGCAGGTGAACAGTGCGACGCCAATATTGGCGTCGCACTGTTCACTCACGCCATTTTTTCTCTCAACCCGAAAAACGCGCGAAAGGGAGAGCGATCGTTACCTTCTCAAAAACACCTAAAATGGCGTTCGATTGGAGCATCCCGCGCCATTTTGAAGTTTTTGCGTTACTTTGCCGTGAAA